GTCTCTTCTGATGCATGCTGGGTAAAGAGGAGGGACAAGAACAACATCCAGGGACTTTGTTCTCAGTCTGCTGTTCTTGTGAATTGGAACTGAACTACAGTTGAGGCTGATGACGTTTCATGAGGACATGAGAAAAAAGGCCTGACCTGAGTGTGGTTTGCAAAGGCTGGCCACGACCTCTGGCGCCCCCTTCAGGAAGGCTTCCATGTGTTTTTCTCCCAACCTCCGGACGACCACGCTCATCCTCTGCAGCGCCGAGGAGAAGGGGAACTGCCGCACTATACCGATCTCACCAGACTGGAGCTGAAACATCAACGTTATAAAAAAGAAAAATTAAAGACTGATCTTCCTCCCATAAAACGGCTTCTCTGTCATCAAAGAGGGAACTTTTTCACACAGTGCTTCGCAAAACTAATCTACGGAAGAGGATTAGGGCCACTGATAAAATAAAAAAGTTATCCGATTTTTAAATTTTATTTCATTATAATATGAAACAAACATGTTAGCATCCAGCTGTAGCCATGTCTGTTTTAGAGACTAGCTCTCTTGTTTTAATCTCCTTCTGTTCTTCCATTAATCAAACAGCATCACCAGGGGCCCTCAGGTACGGAAAAGTCGCCTTATTCCCTCATTTTCTACCAATGTGTTCCTGTTCTTCTCAAAAAACATCTTTGTCAGTGAAGCTGAGCGCTCCACATCTCTGCCTTCATGGAGACCATCTACATTAAGATCCACTATTCTCAGATTAAAGTCAGAATTTTGACTTTTTTCCCATGTTAAACTGAAATAATATTTAAAAACCAGTAAACTTTTTTTTTTTTAGTGGCCGTAATCATCTTCCATAGTAATGATACCGTTTACAACATTGTTCCTTTAAGTTCACTGTTCACTCTTTTTGTTGCTTTGTTTGTTTTCAGGTGACAAAATACAACAATGTGTAACTGTTAGAGCAAGGAGTGATTTCTTTTTTCTCATCAATGTTTCAAACACTTTTTTTCAATGGAAATCTAAAAAAAAAAATCCATAAATGGAAAAACTTCTCATTCAAGTAAATTAGCTATTTTCTTAGATTATTTTTTGTTTTTTAATATTTTTTTCCAATTTCTATGTTTAATGATTTTTAACAGTATTTTTCACATTTCTTTTTTTCAGATGGAGTTAAACAAATTGCATTATTTTCCCTGGAGCCTGCATGGAGCATCAATCCTTCTTCAGAGATACGTCTGATCCGGTGAGCGCCACATCTGTTTGGTTAGCTAACAACAACCGTTAGCCACATTAGCTCTGGTGTTTAAGGGGAGCTAAGTGGGGCTCTGGATCACATGACTCCTTCAAGGTACAGAGGAGAGTTTTTAGGAAAAGCATCGATAAGATTCAAGTGCTGAATTTTAAAACAAAAAAAATATTTTCATTTTTATCATTTATATCAATTAAAGCTAATACGAGTGTCAAAAGTTACACAATCTTGCTTTAACACCCCAAAACAATTTTTTTCTTTCAGAATTCCTGCCATCAACATCTTTGTTTCTAGATGTTGGAGCTTGGCCTGTTTTCCAGTGTAGTCCTGTTTCTCTGACTGTGACTAACTG